CTTCAAACAAACATACATACATAAACTGTTACGCCTGTCCCAAAGAAGGGTAGGTAGAGACTACGGACTTCCATTTAGCACGACGTGGGCACACATCTCTCGCTTCTTTCACATCCATATATCTACGCATACGCGCTCGTCTGTTATAGTTATAAGTACTCTTGATTTGAAGATCACATCATCATCAGAAATATCGCGAATTTAGTCACACATTACAAACACGATATACGTGGTAGAGCCATGCTGCAGCTATATTATGGTTGTAGCACGAATGGGTCGGCTCGACCGATAGGACCACGCTCTCACAGAATACCAGCGTAAAATAGCAGCTTAACGCCGCTGTGTTTCGTATGGTGAGTGTAGAGAACCGGAGACCCTTTTTACTGGAAAAGAGGCATCCCATCTTAGTCCTCACGGGTGACAACGCATCTACATTTTGATTCGCAAACGGGGATAGATGTAGATGCCTATGGGCCACAGCAACCACTTACCATCAGGTGGACTGTGTGCTCGCTTGTTACCCTATCCTATAAAAAAAGTTTTATAAAAAATGTACAAAGCAAAAGTCAAATCAGATACAAATCGCGGGAAATTAAAAATATGAAAGTGAACAATTCATTAAAAATAGGCATTGTATCCTCTTCTCCATATTTGTAATTATTCATCACCTACATGACCATTGAAAATAATGTAAAAAAAAAACCGTGAACACAATGAACAATTCGTTCGAGTTCTGTTTGAGCAACGAAAGAAACTAATTTCGATGCAACCTCTACGAATGTACCTATTTCTTGAATAACAGCCTTTTTATTTCAGAGAATGAATTGTTTCGAAAAATACAAAGAAAAAAATTCCTTAAATTGGTAGTTTAGTTAAACGTTACTGGTTAATTTATTAATCACTTAGGGCCTTACAAACATCGAGGTCAATTTAAGAAATGCTTAAATTTACTTTCTCTCTTTCAATAAACGGAAATGAAAGAGACAGACATAGAAAATTAATACTTAGGTAAGCGGAAATTAAGGATTAGGTACCCAACCTTATCTAAAAAAGGAGACTTACAATTTGAGTGTAAATTTTTACGGAGTACGTCACGTGAAGCTGTTATTTTAGCATCAATTCTGAAGCTGCATAGAAATCGTTATTGATATAATAATAGCCCTTTGTTTTCGTTCATTCGGATCCAAAGTGATTGGCTAAGAGCAATAACCCTTAAAGACATTTTAATTAGCCCCGCGCTAATTGCCCGGCCCATCCGCAATATCCGACGTTCATTGGCGCCCGATAACCTGCACTTGACATTCAGAGACTATTGCCGCATAGAGATTGCGAATTAACGCTTAACTGCCTTTTAACAAGGTGACTGTTGAATTACAGACGATTGTGAGTCCGTATTGTAAGAGCGCGTCTTGTACCTTCTCAAAATCTGTTACTGGTAATACAGCATTAAACTCATGATCATCTGAATAAAACGAGGTTTTAGGTTACCTTAAAGACAACGCATCTGCATTTTGAATCTTAATTGAGGATAAATGTAGATATCTATGGGCCACTTACCAGATTGACTTTGTGCTCTTTTATCACTATTATAAAATAAAATAGAATATAATTATTTAATATCTACTTACCAAATTAATATTTTAAAATTCTTGTAAGTGATAACTGTACCACTCGCGAACGACGTAAGCGACGTTTTAAATATTAAAGTGTTCTTGCCGGTGATAGCGCTTCGCTTTTATTTTCTAAAAGGGCCGAGCACAGATGGCATACTAGAAAGCGAAAGAGGTAAGAATAATGGGTAGGATTGTCCCAACGAAAGGGGAACTGGGAGGTTTTTTGAAAATGCCGAAGCAAATACATGAGAGTTAAGAACGCTTCTCGGTTGTTTGTCTGTAATGGGCATTGTTGGCAGCTAATTCTAAAGTACGTTTGAGCATTGTAATATAAGGGCTGTTGCAATAAGATAGAACTAAGGAAGTGAAAGCAGAAGCGAAGAAGTTCTATTGTCATATAACGGGATTAAATATTCAAGAGAGAGAGAGAGAGAGAATATCAGATTTTCAATGATGTATTATAAATGTTAACCTTGTAGACGTATTATATTATAGTAAAGATACTTTCGTTCTACAAGTTTCATAATTTTGATATAACTCGACAAAATTGTGTTTTATTATTTAGTAATTGAAAAAAAATTAAAAGTGCTATTTAGGTGTTGAACTGGTTCTAACAGTACATATATGATATCCGTTTCTTAGCGTTCCATGCGATATTCAGCAAAACATACACTTACGGAATCACTTCAATATCCGTTAGATGTCACAGAGGTTCCGCCGTGAGTGTTTCACGTAGATGATTGAAATTTGACATTAGAGTTATCAAATGCAGAAATGAGATTAAAAAATCTAATTTTGAATGTAAAGGGTAAGGTTTATGGGGTTAAATAGAGCTTAATAAATAAAAACAACATCGTGTAGCGCATCTGTTAAAAGCTCTCTGAATCAGACTATAAAAATGTATATGTATTTCATATTTTCATATACACGTAGCATGGAAAGATACTAGGAAATCGCTAACGGACCTCGCTTCCTCGCCCTCAGAAATGAGAGGTCTGGGCCCTGCAGTGGGACGAATATAGGCTATAAATTTACATTACGCGATACAGAACACTGATCTTGCTTGTTCTTTGCTAGATCGATTATTAGTATTACGAATGTAATTCGTGAATTTTTTTTCTCATATCACCTCATTCTCCAAAATAAAACAATTAAGACTAGGATAGACGAAAGATAAAATTACTAGATTATTATACTTATTTTGTTGCGGTAATATTTATTCTACACAGTTTCTTCTTGGGAGCTGTATGAAAGAAATGTGACTTCATTTTCTTAAAATAACAATTTAGTTTTTTATAAAAATAATAGTTCAAGATCTCCGAGTAGGCTAATAGTAGTAAATGTATGTAGCGAAACATATTATATAAATTTAGCCTGCTCAGAGATTCTTTGCATGATAGAATTGATAATGAGAATAATAAGAATATGAATGAGACTAAAACCATAGTAACCGATACAGCTCAACGGATCTGTAAGTTGAAGTCCCTATAGGCTACCCACAAAGGTAGGAGAATGGATAACCGATTGGGTTGAAACTTTCTCGAGTGGGAACCATCGACTTCCAGATGGCTTAAGACCGTGTTTTGTGACCTTTCTTTGGGGAGGCCAGAATGATAATGATGACGAAGATATCCTTTTATCCAAATTGAAGTTATGATATTGGTCCCTTGGGAGAGAGGTAAAGCTCTAGTGTGGGATGCTACTTGCGTAGACGCTCTAGCGGCCTCTCATCTCAGGGGTACCTCGTTTACAGCCGGGGTGACATCAGAGGCAGCTGAAGTGAGTAAGTGGCGCAAATATGAGTCTCTGAGAGATGACTACATATTTGTGCCAATTGCTGTAGAGACTATCGGTCCGTGGGGTCCACGTGCGGTGAAGTTCCTAAAGGAACTCCATCCGAGGCAGGTCCTTGCTGCTGGTGATAAGAGGGCTGGTTCTTTTCTCGCTCGAAGACTAAGTATAGCCATTCAGCGGGGAAACGCAGCTAGCGTTCTTGGTACGATACCGCGGGAAGTAGGACTATATGATAACTAAGTTTCTAGTTTTAGTTTTTTTTATTATTATTATTATTATAGTTTTTAATATTGTATATAATTAAGTACATGTCACAATTTCATATCCCTATAAATATAAAGAAAAATAAATTAATACTAAGTAACATAAATTATTACACCGTTTAACCTGTTCTTTTATAAACCACCGAATTAATTATTACTAAAAAATTCAAATACCTAGAAGCAGACAGGAAACCGCGGCGAGAACTCAACAGCGCGGTCCAAGAGCGTTGGCAAGTCAGGAAGGAAAGGTTGCCAAAGTTTGTCCGAAAAAACCCCGAAAATTAAGCCCAACATTTTGTTTCCGCCGGTCGAGGGATCGCGGCGTAAATATTATTCGGGCCCCGTCTTTTATTCCCTTTGTTTTACACTTTATTATTTGCGGTCCCGGCTCACCTTGGTCGAGGCGTGACCGCTGACGGCGAAATTAAAAGAACCATCCCCCGGAACGAGCCGGCGCAATGGCGACGGGACGAAAAATACCGGCACAATAATAAGATATTAAAACTTTTTAGTATTAGATACAAAGAAACAAAATACTTTATATATCAGATGCGGGCCCTTTCGAGTTATTCGAGTTCGAGTAATTGACGAATTTCAACAAACGCAAAAACTTCGCCGGGCTTCTCGGAGTTGAATCGTGCATAATTAGCAGGACCGATTTAGGGAGGGCGAGTTCCTATCCATTTCGTCCGCGTCGTAAAGACGGTGTTTTATTCGCTGGAATGCGCTGCCCCCGAGGCCTTTATGAAAACTGTCCCCTTCTCACTTGACACGAAAGATTCCGTAATTTGGTGCCTTTTGAGTGATTCCTGAACAGAGGCCGAGACCAGATGGCACTATATTGGCCGTTTTAGTTTTATGCTTGCGCCCTTGCTGGCGATATTTCATTCGGGTTGCTCGTAAAAAGAAAAGAAATTCGTCAACGAGGAAACATAGGCTACGTGTAGGTCTACACAGGCCACAAAGCACGTGCGTAATGAATTCTAAATGAAGCTTCATTTATTCTATACTGCTCTCCTGTGACCATTATCAACACGAGATATGTCTATAAAACTTTTGTTTTGTTCTCTAGTTCCTCAAGTTTCTATTTCGTCGTGCACTAACATAGTAAAGGCAGCAACTTTTGAATTAATTAATAAAGTACATTTTATGACCTCGTTATTTACCTTATACTCGTTGCTAGTAAAAAGGTCGTCGGTTCTCTTCACTCACCATACGCACCAGCATTATGCCGCAAATTCATGGTGGTATTCTATGCAAGCATGACTGATTGTCTCATTATCGTCTTATGAAAAATAAATGTTGCTTCTATTTAATGTGTGTAACTTACCCTTGACATTCTGGATTTTTGTAAACAGGAACGTAGAATTCATGCATCGATCCTCTGAAACAATAAGAAATAAATATAAATTAATTTGAAAAATATTTAATTTTTTTATAGTAAAGTTTAAAATTAATACCCAGAAGTCTATTTTCCTTCATGGGGCAATACTTTATTACAACAAAGTTCCACAAAATATACAAGTTTAAATATCCTTTATAAATAAAAACTGTATAAGAGTTATTATAGTTTAAATGAGTACATGGTTGATACTCGTAATAATGCTTCCAAGCTGTTTCTTACAAAAATTTTGTAAGTAGTTTGTACAACCTGTCTTTCTTGTTGAATAATTTTACTTAGAAAAAAAACCACCGCTGGGTTTTCTGCTGGTTCTTCCTAGGACGGAGGTTTTTTTCCGAACCAGTGCTAAAAGTAAAAAACTGACTTTCAATAAGAATTACTAATAACCTATATTGAAAAAAAATCTATTTTATTCTGAGGTCGAACATTTATCTTCAACACATTCTTTGTATTGTACTGTCGGTAAACTAGTAGTAAATACTCTAATATCTAGATCCTTCCATTTTTAGCTTTAACTGATTCTCTTTCTTTTTACATCTTATGCTATAACTAAATGGCTGACTAGCTACGGGCAACAAAATACACACCAACCTCCGATCGGCATCGCAAATCTATATTATCTAGGCAAAAATCCGACTACAAAAATGCAATAATTTATGGAAAGGATCGTATGTATTTTATTAGGTCAACCCTTTCTTCCCAATCAGGACAGGAATTTGTCAATAGAGGCAAGGCGAGGGATCGGCTCGCTTTGTCAAACCAATTGCCTAAGACTGTGGCACCTGAGCTTTTGTAGAAATGTTACAAACACATGCCCGTAATTTATTAACACACTCGAGATGGAGGCGACGCGCGCTCGGTGAAAACGTGAAGGAAAATGTAATGCGGGCAAAATATGGCTTGCTCTATATGGGAATATTATGTACTTTGTAAGATGTTTAATCAAACTGTACTCTGAGTGGTTTCTTAGTACAAAAAAGTAAAAAAAAAATTGTGGTTGAATATTTAAAACCTCTTTTTAAATCTCATAGATTTATAAATGTGAAGAGCGCTTCTCTACTGCAATCAAAATTACAACAAAACTTTACGGTTAAAGAATTACAATTTTTTATAGAATAAATGTGACAAACGAGCTTACAGTCCTGTCCACCTGATGGTAAGTGGATGCTGTGGCCCATAGACATCTACATACAGATGCGTTGTCGCCCATGAGGACTGAGATGGAATGCCTCGTTTCCAGTAAAAAGGGTCTCCGCTCCCTACACTCACCATACGAAACACAGCAGCATTAAGCTGCTATTTTACGGTGGTATTCCGTGGGAGTTCAATCGTACCGCAGTCAAGTCTACCCATTCGTGCTACAGCTATAATATAGTTGCAGCGTGGCTCTACCATGTTTAGATATTTAATGTATATCGTAAAACAATCGCTGTTATATACATATATATAACTATATCACTATAGGCCATCACAAGTCCGTAGCTGTTCATAGGCCTCACCCATGCATTGCAACATAATTACCTATGTCACGGCTAAAAGCCGAAGTCCGGTTACACCTAGGTGTAGCCGACTAATACAAGGTGTATTCAATTGCGATTGGTATATTATACATAATCATTAAGGTGAGGTTGGGGTTGCGCTTAACATACTATCGCTGATATTACTTGATAAGTATTTCCGTATTTGTACAAATTTATCAGCACACCGAAATTTAGCTAACTACTCTAGCCGGCTAGAAGTATGTGTAACCGCACTTCGGCTTTTAGCCATAACACCTACATTACGCAAAAGTCAGAGTTATAATACTCGTAATTAGTACAAATATTAAAAATGTCTATGTTGTGCGGCCTAAAGACAATTGTTTACGTCCTACTCCCGGGTTACCTATTGTCCTCTACGGCGTAGAAGTAATGTATTAAAAAAACGTTTCCTATTCTTGTAAAAAAGGAAATCCTTTTTTATTTTTCCTGGTTATTTACTATTGAAAAAAAATATAGTACAAGTAAATAATACATTTTTAATTTAAAATGTTAAGAGATCCGCGTATAAAATAAAAAATATATGACTTAGCGGTCAGCCATCGCAAAGTCTATTTTTTTTTTTTTTTTTGCGCCCGAAGCAATTGGAAAAGGGCTACCCCGAAGGGAGGCAGAAAATGCATTACGCATACCACGATGGCCGGTCCATCGTGGTTATGAGGGACTCACTACCTACAAGGGGGAACCTAAGTGATACCCTCTAAAAACTGCCTTTGGGGACTGGCAACCAGCTGTTGAAAGCTTCACATGCCGTATCGTAAAGCGACCCTCTTTTGGGAAAAGAGGGCGCAGGCGGCTATAAGCCGCTGAGGGAGTGCCTGGGAAGGCAAATTAATTATGAATAACTTAATTAGAGTTGGCCTGAGCCGCCAGGAGGCAGTTCAGGTCGTTTGAAAGTTTATTAGGCGGGTCCGAGAGGGAGTTCCTCGGCCTGCGGACGCTATAGCGGGAGGGGAGTGGGGCTGCATAATTAGCAGCCTCACGAATAAAATGATTGGAATTCGACTCTGAGGCTTTGAAGAAGTTCTCAGAGAGTTTTTTAAGGAATTGTTGAATTGTAGGGAGCTCTAGGTCCCGATGAAGGTCGGCATTGCGGACGTACCAAGGTGCGTTCGCAGCTCGACGACAGAAAAGGTTTTGAACTACTTGGAGTTCATTAATAATTTTAGGGTTAGAGTGGGCGAAAATGGGGCCCGCGTAGGACATGACTGGTCGTATACAGACCTTATAAAGGGTACGCTTGTTTCTGAGGGACATTTTACTGTGTCGGCCCAACATACTGTTGAGCCTATTCAGGTAAAAACGTGCGTGACGGGTTACTCTTTTGACGTGGGGCCTGAAAGTTAGCCCTGTGTCTAGAGTGACACCTAAATATTTGGCAGACGTATGCCAGGGGACAGGGGTCCCTAGCATACGTATTGGTGGAGTGTTTTTGAGACGGCGTCGTTTATAATCGAAGTGAACGGCGGAGCTCTTCTCCGGGTTCACATCGATGCGCCATTTTTTGAACCAAGCTCCTAGGTCATCAACTGACTTTTGGACCTTGTTCCGTATGAAAGGTAGCGAGATACCTTTGCAGTAGAGAGCAGTGTCGTCTGCGAAGAGGGAGAGCTGAACACCTTTCGGCGGAATGGGAATGTCGTTGGTGAACAGTATGTACAGCAGAGGAGCAAGAACTGAGCCCTGAGGGACACCAGCTTTGATGGGGCGCTGTGAAGATAGCGTGCCTTCGTGTCTAAAACGAAAGGTACGATGATTAAGATAAGAGGCCACGAGACGTACTAGACGATCGGGGAGACCTATTTTGTATAGTTTGTAGATAAGGCCTGTATGCCAGACTCTATCGAAGGCTTTGGCGATGTCGAAAAAGACCGCGATAGTCTTATGACGACGGGGATAAAAACCGCTGAGGATATATTCCACAATACGGTGAACTTGTTGGGGGCAGGAGTGTTTCGCTCGGAAACCGAATTGATGGGGAATGATAAGAGGGTCACCGTCTGTGGGAAACAGATGGCGCCTCATGCGATTTTGAATGACTCTTTCAAAGAGCTTGCCCATGGCCTTGAGGAGGCTAATGGGACGATGACTGGACCCCTCCATCCCTCCAATCTCCCCAGATTAAGAGGCTTGCCTGGCTTGGGAATACCAATCACAGTTGCCTCTTTCCACGTAGTGGGAAAGTAACTAAGGTTGAAGCAGGCATTGAAGATAATAGATAAAAGGGTTAGCACCTGCTCAGGAAAGTTTTTTAGGGCTTGGTTGGAGATGCCATCCGCGCCCGGAGCCTTTTTAGGCTTAAGTCCTTTGATGAGGGATGAAAGCTCATCATTGGACACAGAGATAGGTTCGGAGGCTGTAGGGGGCGAGTTCCGGCGGCGGACCTCATCCTCCACTGCCTGGACGTGTGAGGGGTCTACGGGTTGAGAGCTAGGAGAGCATTGAGCGGCAATGCTGTCTGCAAAGCACTCAGCCTTTTCCTCGTCCTCGAAGGCTATCGTACCGTCGGGACGGGAGAGAGGGGGAGTGTGGAAGATAGCGTCTATGCGGAGGGCTCTTGCCATCTGATAGTACGCTGTATGAGAGGGAGAGATATTCTCCATGAGCTTACTCTTTTCGAGGTCTCGAAATTCAGAGAGGCGGAAACGGAGTTCTCGTTGAAGACGATTGGCCGTGCGCCTATATTCGGGCGTGGGATATTTTGCTGCTCTCCGGAAAGCAGCTTTTTTGGCTTTTAATAGGTTGCTAATATGCAGGGGAAGCCCACTATTATTAGCAACCGGGACGACCCTTTCATTCTCCTTAAGGGAGGTTTTAATAAGGGTGGAGAGTGAATCGACCGCGGTGTCGATTTTTTCAGGACTGTCTAAGTCCGAAGATAGGGAGATGGGGGAGTCCTGTGAGTCCAGAGCTTTCGCTAGGGACTCCTTGAAGCCCTTCCAATTTGTGAAGGTTTTAGTAGAGGGTGTTGGGAGTGGTGGCTGATGGCCAAGAATGAGAGAGACCGGTCGGTGGTCGGATCCTAGATCGTCTAGTGTCTCGATTGCCCTAAGGTTGAGAGAAACTCCTTTGAGTAACGCAAAATCTAGTACATCGGGGGCATAGTCGGTGTTATCGGGAAAGTGAGTAACACCGAGAGGACTGTGGACGGTAATATCAAGAGACTGCGTGATATCGAGCAGTAACTTGCCACTACGGGTGGTAGTACGGCATGTCCATTCAGTATGCTTGGAGTTAAAATCTCCAAACATAATGACTGAATTGCCTAGAGATAAAATAGCCTCAAAATCTTTTTTGAGGGGAAGGGTTTTAGAAGGGATGTAACAGGAGGCTATGAAGATGGACTGATGTCCAGTCATAGCTAGCCTGCATACCGTGGCTTCCATGTTGGAAAGTTGCGGAGTAGAAATGGGAGAACAGTGAAGTGTCTTCTTGTAATAAATG